AAAATAAAATAAATAATAAAATAAAATAAAATAAGCCAGTGTGCTGCCCGAGTCTTCCTATTTTTCTGAGTCATCCAACCCTGTGTGAGTAGAGGGTGTCCTCCCGCCTAGAGCTGCTGAACGCTGGAAATGAACCATCACGGCTAATGGGAATCTTCTCTATTAAGCATGCCTCACGCTTGCTGGCTGCAATCGCCCATTAAGACTACATTAATTGCATTGATTTATTTGATGTTTGGATGCGAAGGGTTTGGTGTGTGTGTGCCCCCCCCCCAACACACACGTACACACACACACACACACCCCTTCTGCTGAGTACAGAAATGCCACCAGCTCCAATCTGCGTCAGTTTTATTGCCCAGACTCCCATGCCATCCATCACCGGGACTGTGGTCTAACCAACTCAGATGCCCTCATCCTGTGTCCTACCAGCTCCCAGACTCCCTTTGGCAGAGAGGGAATACAGAGCGCTCTTAAACCCGGGAAATTTTCTGCTGATGGGCACATAAATCTTTTTGGCAGAGTGCTATCATTTAACTAGCACGGCAGAGGTGGTGCTCACAGGGTGAGCAATTCCCACAGCGAGTTAACCCCTCGGGACTCCTTAGGTTTGTGGGTTTTTTTTTCCCCCCCAAGGTTTAATAATAAGAAAAGATTAGAAATCAAGCAGAGCCTCTGAAACGCACTTACCTAGGTATTGCTCTACACCTGGGAAGGGCATCTGACTGCACGGAAACTTTCCTGAGCCGCTGGGCGGGGGGGGCCCCCAGCCGCAGCAGCGCCAGAGGAGTGTAATTCAGCCGAAACGATGGGGATTTGGTTAATTACGCCAGTCGCATCCTAACGGGGGACGGGGCAGGGGGAGGTGTGTGTGGCGGAGGCGGGGGGCAGAGCCTGGTCACGAATGATGGTAATAAGAAATTCTCCTGGAGGAGAGGCTACAGGAGAAAGACACTTAGCTGTAACGAGGGGGCTAGACAGGGGGGTTGCGAGCCGCTGGAAGGAGGATGAATTCTGGATCCCACGCCTGAAGGGAGTT